GGGAGGGGAAAGAAAGCGTTTTCAGGCAGCTCCCTGATCACCTCCCTGCAGCTGCGTGCCTCCGCGGTCCGCGGTCGGCACCCACGCCCAACAGTCCCCAGTGCACAGTTCATCCTCGCCGGAGTGCCCCGGGATGTCCTGGGGCGCCCGCCGAATGCCGTGGGGAGCGCGTCGGCGGGGCGCGGCGGGGCGCGGCGGGGCGCGGCGGGGCGCGGCGGGGCGTGTGACGTGACGCCCTGGAGCCTTTTGATGCCGCGGGATTACACGCGCGGCGGCGCGACGCTCATCCCGCTGCAATAAGCCGACAGTCCAGTCATCATCATCGAGGGAAGAGAGAGAAAGTGTTTCGTTTGGGACAGCCCTGGGACAGCCCTGGAACAGCCCGACCCGGGTGCGGGGCGGGGCGGGCTTCGCAGAGCTCAGAGCTCCGCGGGGGTCACAGAGCGAAAGCCCGGCCCCCGGCCTGGCCCGGCGTCCAACGCGCGATATGTAGTTTTATTGGGACCCAAACTCGCCCAAACTAGCTGCACAGAGGGCGGCGGTCGGCGGTCGGCGAGTCTGCGCGCACCTGGCGCACCTCATCCCTAGCACGGCGGCTTTCACTATCGACAAGCGAAGCGCGACGCCATCAGATGAGACCGTTGACATCTCGGAGGATAACAACAGAGATAGTGACAGTGGTAGAAAGAGTTGAGGAGGAGGGGGGATCTTTGCCATACACTCCATCTGCAGTGGCGTGGCGTGGTGCCTCCAAGACCGGGCGCAGGACCCCCCAGGACCCGCCAGGGACCTGCCGCCAGGACCTCGTAAGCCCCGCCATCCCCCCTGCGGAGCCAAACGTTAACACACGCGAGGGGAAAATTCACTTTTGTTCACACACACGCACACACACTCTCAGACGAAATGACCCAGTGACCAAGAATGTAATGTAGGCGTATATCGATCGACGGCAGTAAGCTTATGTGCCCTGTCCAAATAACTTACGACCCAGTATAGGGCTCCGGTGGGCGGATTTTGGAGAGGGGAGAGAGGCCGCTGGCTTTGGGCCACGCCTTTGCGCCTTGTTTTGGCAAAAAAGGAAACTCGTCAGAATGGCCATATTTTCTGCTGGTTGAGAGCTCGTCCATGCCGTCGTCATAACGCCTGTTGCGGATAGTTGAAAACAACTCCAACTCGTGAGCTCCCCAGCGCTATCGGCGGAGGGCTGCTCTTTCATCTGGGGCCTGGACCCCTCCCGCATCCTCCGCGAGCCCCGCTGCTGGCTCAACGTGGAAGGTGCAGAGCTGGCTGTTGATAACGCGGAGCCTAGCGGGCCTGGCCCTCGGCAGAATGTGCAGCTCACGCACGGGGCGGTCACAACACACAGGCCACGGGTCACTCACCATGCACTACGTCGCTCTTGTTTATCATTTCCTTTTAGTTTTCTTTTGTCAAGGCCGTCCCATTAGGACCTTAGGAGTCCACCACTGCATTTTCTTGGTTCCAGCGCCGGAAGTAGACTATCTCACTATGGTAGAGTGAAAGTGCGTAATCAGACTATGACCTCACTCAGGGCGTCAAGCCCACCCTTCCCGAAGTAACACTGCCCGGTGCTCGCGACCGCCGCTTGCAGTTGAGCCGAGGCGCGAGCCGCCATATCAGCCTGGCGCCAGGTCGTTGGCATGCTCAGGCTCAGGGGGCAGGAATTAGAAGCAATGGGTTCCAGTTAGCGAGTAGACTCTCCCGCTCCCGCACGGCGCCCACGCACGACCCGGTAGCAACTTATCAATAAAACTGGACTCGTCTCGCCTACAAGTAGCTCAGACTCTGCAGGTCTTCGATCGTGCAATCATGAAAAAAAAAAATCGAAGCAGGCAAGCAGTTAATTGAAAATTACGGGCCTTCGAATTGTAGTGCGTCTGCTAATTTTCCAGAACAAAGTACTTGTTTTTCAATTAACTCATCTACTCTGTTACACAAAATTGTACAGTTAGTAAAAAGTTTCATTGATTTAAGAAAATTACACTGAAAAATATTTTTCATAGCCGCCAAACACTTCTGAGATATTATCTCCTACCGTTTCGAAATAGGAGAGGGTTGGGACGGGTGAGCAAGTGTGAGACTATATCCATGTGGCCCGTGGCCCATCGGCGTCGTTCTATCTTTTCGTTATACTGTATCGAATGCAGGTGTGCGGACGGGTTGCATACTCGAACGGGGCCGTGAAGTGCCTTGTTCAGCGACGATAGACAAGCCCACTCTCACGCCTGCATCCGATACAGTACAATCAGATGAGGGAACGGCGCCGATGGGGTATCCTGTTTCTACAACACATTTTTGGTGACAACGTATTTTTTATTTGGATCTGTCTCCATGCTCCATATATCAACCTTCTACAAGGCGGTTGAGGCTGGACTCCAAGCGCTGTAGGCTACAAACAAATAGGGTGATTCGCCACCCGGTCAGTCTACGATGCACATCGTCGTTCGCGGCACTAATCCCACTGGTCAGAAGGGTCGCGTTTCGGCTGCAGCGGTCGAGTTGTCAGGATGTGGCCGACTCCACCCGGTAGAGACTGAAACCTACTCCGCATTCAGTGATTTTCGCATGAAGCTCGTAAAAGTCGTGGAGCCGCGGGGCCGGGCCGGGCCGGGCCGGCCGCACTCACCGTAATCACTGCCCTCGTGGTCGGTGCCGTTGACGGTGCCGTCGGGTAGGATCTGCAGGTGCCTGTTCCTCACGTACATCATGATCTTCCTGCCGGCACCCGCAATGTGCGACAAGTTGGCGGAGCGCTCCTGGCGCTCCTGGCGCGCGGCCCCTCCCGGGGCTCCCGCCCCCGAAGCCGCCCCCAGGTCCCCGTCGTCGGGAGGTGAGGCGTCTTCATGCCGGCGCAGCGCCCGCCGCGTCCGGAACGCGCCGGGCTCGTCGTCTTCGCCGCCCCCGTCGTCGGGGACGGGGATCCAGTCGTCGTGGTGGTGGTGGTGGCGCGGGCGGCTCGCGGCGACGGGCGTCATGTCGCGGACGTCGTCGGCTTGCCCCAGCACCACGGCGCCGCGGCACGCCGTGGCCAGCACCACGGCCAGGAGGGTCAGGGGCAGGAGCGTGCAGCGGGAGGGCGCGCCGCGGCCGGCCGTCACCATGTCGGGGGGACGGCCAGGCAGCAGACGGCCGGGGCCGGGCTGGCCGAGGTGGCCATCACCCGCCCGGCGCCATCGCCGGGCATCACTCACGGGGCGCTCATCGTGGCACTCCCCGCCGGTGGCACTCCCCACAGCACTCCCCACAGCACTCGCGCACACGCACAATCACACGCTAGGTCCGAGCCGGCTGGCCGCTCGCGTCGCCGTCGTCGTCCTCGTCGTGCCGATCGGATTGTCGCGGAGCTGATAGACTTGGCTCGCGACGGCGCCCCTCCCTCCCCTCACGACGGTACGATGCGTTCGCGACGGAGGTTCAAGCCGCACTGCCGGGTGCCGGCATGGCTCGCCTGCCCCTCCCGCCGTCGGCCTGTCCCCTCCTCCCCCCGTCCCGGCCGGCGCGCGCGCGCCCTACCCC